GCGTCAGTACTTAAATCGATGTGTCGATCTGCCCGGGTTTCGAATCCCGCGGCCGGTAGACCGTAGATTAGCTATGCTTGTACGGAGGATTGGCACCCTCTGTGCAGGTATGGTAGGGTGGAAGAATGTTGGCTTGGGTCAATGTGAGAGATTGACACCGGTTGGCATTTGACCACCCCCCTAATTAATGAGGTTTTCCAGGTTTCCCTCATTCCTGCACTGAATGGTGGTTAGGGCCTACCAACATAAGTCGTTCCTGGGCGCAAATGCGGCCTGCGTAATAATAATATGCCGCCTCCTCTCCCGCACAAGTCTCCGACTTCTGGGCTAATTCTCGCAGTTAGAATGAGGAGTAGAGATATTATTATTATTATTATCCTAGTTAATAAATCTTGTGAAACTACCTACTTACGAATAGTTAGATGGATTTAAGAAAATTAAAAATTTTAATTTTGAACACCCTGCAGCTCAGAAACGGCGGCCTTAAGAGCCTATGTGTGTGTAACAAAATTTACTTAATTTTAGCCACAGAATGGGCCTCTGGTTTTTCTTACGCCATTAATGAACACTGTATAAGTGCCTGCAATGAAATCAGTTGAAGTTTCTTATAAAAGTTGTAAAGCATACAATTCTACATAGAAATGGCCTCGACTTTTTCTTGTACTATTAAAATTAACAGAGTTAGGGAGGCTGGAAGTTAAGGAAAGATTTCAGAAACTTTAAAAAATTATAACAAGCAGAAAAATGAATGAATTTTGTAATTTTTTTTCAATCTACTCTAAAAAATGTAACTTTTCTTTTCAGAGAAATAGATATAATTTTTAATTTTTAATAAGAAAGTTATAACAATTTCAAATTTTTAATCGTTAATTTTAATGATGTAACAAAACTAAAACATTTTTTTTTCTATACTATTCGATTGATTATTTAAAATAATAAAAAGTTGCCTTCGAATTTTTTTTATGTTTGTTTTTTAGACAGATACAAATTTATTTACCTTTTTATATTTTGAATTTTATTTAGCTCCTACGACACTGCCAGGACAAAGATAAAAAGTCACATTCGCTTTGTCGCACTCATGGTACCGAAGTTGTGGACAACTCGTATGCTTATGACAAAGGTAGATTATTTCGTTCGCTATTGTCAATTATTGCCGTTCGCTAGTGGGTCAGTAAATGTGTGTTTCTTTAAATTATTGTATGCTCAATATCCATTGTTACATTCAAAAACGTAAATACATATTAATAAGGACTAATATTTTTTCTTTTAGCCTAAAACAGATTTAAACGGATGCAAACTAACCCTCATGTTCACCCCCAAAAATAATATTTCTGTGACAACTCGGGTTCTAATCAATATTATCAGTCCTATAACAGGCAATCTCATTCGCCCAGAAATATTATTGTTGGATTTCAATCTAAACTGATTAGAGATAAAATATTGGTTTCATACAAAGATAAACGTCGAAGTGCTACATCCCTCGGATTAAGAATTGATGAAATTTCTAATAATTTATTTATCAATGAACATCTCACTTCTGTGAATAAGTTATTGTTCAAACATACAAGAGATGCAGCTAAAGAAAAACATTATAAATATGTGTGGATCAAGAATGGCAATGTATATATACGCAAAGAGGATAATTCCAGAGCTAAACTTATTCGTAGTGTTGACAGTTTGGCTGAACTGTAAATATATCTATTCTTCCTATAAGATTTTCATTCTTTTCCTATGGATTTGTTAATCTACTACCAGAATATTCGTGGTGTTCGAACTAAAACTCAAAACTTTAAGTTAAATGCAGTGAACCATGAAGCGGACATTTTTTTGATAACAGAAACCTGGCTGAATAGTGGTATTTTAAGCAGTGAAATTTTCGATAATAACTATCATGTTTTTCGACGTGATCGGGATTCTTCTAGCAGCTTAAAATGCGATGGAGGTGGTGTACTGATAGCCGTACGTGAAGATCTGTTTGCTGTAGCTCGTCCGGAATTTTTCAGCGACGCAGAAGGTATGTGGATTTCTATTCATTTAAGTGGTAATAAATTGCTTCATGTGTGTTGTATTTATTTGCCTCCTGGTGATGAAAGGCAAAATCTTATTTTACTACCAAATTACAATCCATTCTTCATAGAATATCCAGTAATTATATATTAATTTGTGGTGATTTCAATCTGCCTTTAATAAAGTGGGTACCAAATGATATCCATAAAACATATCTTTTTGCTACAAATGTTGATAGTAAATCTAGTGATCTTATAGATGCAATGTCATTAGCAGAGCTTATGCAATTTAATTCGCATGTTAATTCTCATTCTCATATTCTTGATTTAATTTTTTGCAATCATTTCAATGTAAAAAGAATAACTAATAGTGATTCTCCTCTGGTGCCCCCTGATCTTCATCATCCTCCACTAGAATTTTATTTTTCTTGTTCTGCTGTTGGTTTTTTACCCAATAAAATAACCTGTCATAATTTTAATTTTAGAAAAGCTAATTGTATCAATATATGTAACTCCCTAGTTGATATTAATTGGCATGGTATATTGAATAAAAGTTCACTAGATGAAGCCGTCAGTTGTTTTTATGAGCTAAATCGCATTTTTTCATTACATGTACCAAAGGCTAAAATTAAATTTCGTAATTATCCTAGTTACTTTTCTATGGCTACTATCACTACTATCAAAGAGAAAATAAAGTATCATAAAAAATGGAAAATGTATAAAAATGAAATAGATCATATTAAATTTATTTCCTTAAGACGTGCAGTAAACAGATGATACTAAATGATTATAGAAAGTATATAAGTTCTGTGGAGGAGGATGTTCGGTCAAATCCAAAGAAGCTGTGGCATTTTGTGTCTAACTTTAAACGTAACAATGGTATTCCCAATGTGATGCATTATAATGATTGTACCGCTATGGGACCCAGTTTTCAACCTATTTTCGAAGTGTTTATGAACCTTATCATCAGGTGCCTTTTAAATCTTTTCTAAATACTGGTAGCGTCAACATCAATTCAATTCATTTAACTGAACAGGATGTATTTAATAAACTTAACAAAATCAATGTCAACAAAGGCGCCGGTCCAGATGGTATACCTGCTTACTTTATTAAAAATTGTGCTACAGCCCTATATGTACCATTAACCATTTTATTTAATATGTCTCTCACATTAGGGGAATTTCCATCAATGTGGAAAAAAGCATATCTCATTCCAATCTATAAGAACACCGGAGATAGAAACTGTGTGAAGAATTATAGAGGTATTAGTAAACTATCAATATTCAGCAAAGTACTAGGATCCATAATTTACGATGCTCTGTTTGAATCTCTAAAAAATATTATAATTGTTGAACATGGATTTTTTTCTAAGCGTTCTATAGATACTAACCTCTTAAGCTATAGTGATTATATTCGCAATTCCATGGACAAGCGAATTCAGGTTGACACCGTGTATACCGATTTCAGTAAAGCTTTTGTCAAAATTGATCATAATATATTAATTGTTAAGTTAGCGGGAATCGGTGTGCACGGTGAACTTTTACGTTGGTTTACATCTTATATATATAACAGATCTCAAATGGTTGCAATAAATGGTCATTTTTCCAATACAGTCCACATTACATCTGGTATTCCTCAGGGTTCCCATCTTGGACCCCTCTTATTTCTTATTTATATCAACGACTTAGCCGAATGTATCAAATACTCTAAGTTTCTCCTCTATGCAGACGATCTGAAAGTTTTTCGCGCAGTTTCATCTCTAAATGATTGCCAGGGCAGGACATCAACCGGATTGAACAATATTGTAATAGGTTTAAATTATTTTTAAACATTAATAAGTGCCATTCAATTACATTCACTAAAAATATTAGTCCCTACATCTTTAATTACCAGATTAATAATGAGGAGCTTAGGCGTGTCTCAGAAATAAAAGATTTAGGCGTTATATTTGACAGTAGGTTGAGTTTTGGTCACCATATTGATTATGTTTGTCGAAAATGTAATGGAATGTTGGGTTTCATTTTTAGGACGTGCAGGGAATTTAGAGACGAAAAGTCTCTTAAATCTTTGTACTATGCCTATGTTTATAGCAGACTTAATTTTGCATGTGTGATTTGGAGTCCGAATTATAACATATACAAATTGAGACTGGAAAGAGTTCAGAACAGATTTGTGCGTTACCTTAACTCAGGGTCAACGGTATTTATAATGTTGATGACATATCAGCTACTAAACAACAATTTAATATCGTCCCTTTGGAACAAAAAAGGATTCACACTGATTTTATTATTTTATTTAAATTATTGAATAATTTATTAGACTGTCCCTATTTAATTTCTTTACTGAATTTTCATGTTCCTTCTAGAAATACGAGGACGACTAATTTATTTAGCACACCAACCCAACATACCAATCTCGGACTAAATAGTCCATTGTACAGAATGTCTGTTAATTATAATATGTACTTTGTCGACTCTAATATTGATATTTTTAATACTACTCTTAGCAGTTTCAAAAGATTTATTAGGAATATTCAGTTCCTTTAATTAACTTTTTACTTATTTTTGTACATTTTTTCACTGATGTATCCATTTCCTGTTAGTTTTTTTTTGTTTTGTTTACACTATGTTCACAATTGTATTAGTGGATGCAGTTTTGGGCAGCAAGCCTGTTTGCATTCCAAATGTGATAAATAAATAAATAATAAATAAATATTCTTGAATGAAACAAAATGGTAATTACTTCTTATAAAAAAAACATTTATGGGCTTATGTAATGCGTCAGTTGAATGAACAGTATGACGATATTCCGTGATAACTTGGGTTCTAATCAATATTTCGGAATGAAACAAAATGGAAATTACTTATAAAAAAAACATCTATGGGCTTATGTAATGCGTCAGTTGAATGAACAGTATGACGATATTCCACCAAATAGAGATACGCTCTGGGAACATATACAAAATATTTGGAACGCTATAGACGTGAATTATATACGACGCCTTGTTACATTTATGCCAAACAGATTACAAGCCGTTATTGATTCTTATGGTGGTTGGACATATTATTAGACTATTTTGTTTTTCCATGGTTTATAAAATGATGTCAAAATAAGTAAATAAGCTCATAACATTGTGGGCCCAGAAATGCTTCCTTTCTGATAGATGTAAAATTTAAAAAAATCCTATTTTTCTAAATATTTTGAAAAACGATTTAAGATATTACACTGAGCTTTAGTGTATAGTACAGTGGCAGTATAATATCTTAAATCGTTTTCGAGATATTTAGAAAAAAATAGATTTTAAATTTCTTTCGACATCTATCTCAGAAAGGAAACATTTCCGGACCCATAACGTCGTGAACTTATTTACTTATTTTCACTTCCAAAACACTTCCTTAAAATATTTCCCGAAACTGTATAAGTTATAATAAAACTGTACTTTGCAATATTTTTTTATTTTGTTGCCTTCATGACTTACCTACCTACTTTCTGCAGAATATGACACAAATTCTTATTTCAAAACCTATATACTCTTCTCTTTTTATAATGCATATACTTCAGGCCTGTAATTTTTTGTTATGTGTCGTTACACACGTGCCTACACAAAAAAAATATGACACGCCCCTAATTATTGATGCCCCCAAAATTCCTATTAATAGTCCACTGGCTCGCCCCTTTAAAAGTAGTATGCCTTTTAGGTTGGACACCTTTATCTTGCGTCGAGTGTACATTAAAAAGTTTAATAGTTTAAAGATTCTAATTTAACTTTTAAACATCATGAGTAAAATATATAATAAATCAGTAAATTCCTGTTAAATATACTTTTTTTACTTGTTCAATAATACCTCACCCCAAACTGCAACAACATACTTACGTCATCCTTTTGTTTAAATTTGTATTTTTTATAGCAAATATGTGCACAGTTCCTTTATCGCTAGAGCAACAGAGGTAATCAGAATCTCTGCTAAAGTTAATGCTAAAAAAAAATTGTGTTAACTATTTATTTAGCTTTTACAAAGCAAATTTTACCAGTATACAGTGGCTGGATCTGTACCACGTCTTAACTCGACGAGTAAATTTTTTGTAGCGGTATCCCAAACCCTAATCAACGTTCCTTTAATTGATGCTGTAGCTGCTCTGGTTCCCTGCTGATTTAATGCAAGGCAACCTATTTCAGCTTTATGGGCTGCAATCCAAACGGGCGCACTTGATATGCTTATTTCTGTACAACAGAGGTCCTAAAAATGGATAATTAGCATCTTTAATTAATTCACTAACTATGATATTTTACAGATTACTCTTAGAAACTATTATCCACAAGAGGATAATAGTTTCTAAGAGTCAAAATCTTTGAACAGCTAACCCAAAAATATGATTTAATCCAACTCAGCTCTAAAAATGCACCCCTTTCGTTACACAGCCCTTACAAGTTTTTTTTACTTTTTTTTAATTTCTTGAATGTGCATTAACTTATAAGGTTCAAATTTCTGTTGATTGCACTATCTAAGAACATTAGGCACAGTATAGTTCAATAAAACTGACATACAGGGTATTACTTTTTAAGTGTCAGTGACATTTTTATCTGGAAATTTTTTGTAGGTTCCTTTAAAAAATTTCCCTAAGAACATTTAATTTAGCAAATAGATTTTTTTCTATTTCTTACAGTTTACCAGTAAAATACAGGTAGTTTATTTTTCATAGAACCGAAAAGGCTTTTTTAACTGAAAATACAGTACCTAACTAAATTCAATAAATTACAAAGTTTTAATTTTCAAGAAAAATAAGTGTAGTAGACTACAATCAATAATAAAAAAATATATTAACACCTTTATAGGAGTTTTAAGAAAAAATCCCACATTTTTGGATAAGAAATCTGGGATTATGTGTTATTCATACATTTTGCATACATCCAATATACTTTTACAACGATATGACAAAAGAATGTAACTTTCTTATGCAACCAATTAATTTTGTTGCTTTCAGTCTTTACAATATTTTATTTTTATAATAGAATACAGGCGTTAAAAATTCTATACTATAAAATTCTCCCACTTGCTGTAAATTTAATGCAACTACATATTTTACCTGACAATTTTCTAATGTAATTGAAATAAATTACACAAAGCAAATATTCAATCCATAAATCTCAGCAAAATACTGTAACTAACCCCTGTTGATCTTTGCTGAATTTTCTCTACAGCAGTTCATAAATAGTGACCATTTCAATGCAGTGATAATTTGTAATACTGAAAAGTGGCAGTGCATATTTTAAGCTTGCTTTTTAATAATTGATAAAATATAAGGGTCCTGCAGAAAGTAAATTTTGATGGCATCAGTAATGGGCATTAGTGGTTAAAATATGAAGCGCATGTGTAAGTAAGGAGAGATGGTACGTAGCTATAACCTAATATAATAGAGGCACAGTACTGGTAAGCTATTGAAAAAGTATATGTTGTTCCAAAACTTTTTCATGCACAGAAGCAGATATTATTGACAATTGCCTAAAGTATCTGGACTGAACATGAGTGAATGCTGGATGATGCAGCAGTCCCTGGTTGCTCCAGAACTGATGGAAAGTGTTCGGCAAACGACTTTATGAAACAACACATTATACTTTCTGAATTTTTCTGCAGATCAGACAATTGCTTATGGATATCTGCCGATGTTAAATAACAAATCTTTTAATAGTACGTGCAATCGACAGAAAAGTGTAATAATGATACTGTCTAAAAACTAGTTTGCTAGTATTGTGCCTGTATCAGATAATAGCTACTTACCATATCTCCTTTCTTACACATGCACTTGGCATTCTAACCACTAGTGCAGCCATCCGAATTTACCTTCTGGAGGGGTAGGGTCATAATATCAAATAAAGGAAATTTATAACTCAATTGGATTTTGACAAACTGTGGGTGGAAGTGTTTTTTTTTTCTCTTCATCGATTTAATTATAAAATATCTACACTTCTATTTATTTCAAAAGGGTCTAGTAAAAACTTGTGCAAAAAGTATTACATCTAATGAAATGATAAAATCTTACCACTAACTGCAGACTCCCAAGTTTGTGCCCTGGAAAGATTAATATCTGCTTTTCGGCAGACACCAATGGACTAACTTCACATAATCCTTTGTAATTTTCCCTAGTTTCTAAAGTAAATAGTCTTTGGGTTGGAGTTGGAAATGAAAAAACATGTATTTGATTCAATAAGGCAACAACAATTCTGCAAGGGAAAGAATATGTAGAAAATATTAAAAAACCTACAAAAATAACAATCACCATTTGAAAATCCTGGTGCAAGAAGGGGATAAGTCTATAAATTTGAAAAATGAGGGTTATAATTATAATCTTTTCTTCTGGTACAAATATGAAATATGCAGCCTTAATAGAAACTGAACTATTAGATAAAATAATTTATCCCCAACTAAAGTGGTGCAGGGACGCGGTAAGTTACATGTCACTTCTCCCATTTTTGCTCCATATACAGTGTGAGCCATTTCAAATGTAAACAGGCTAGAAGAATGATATTTATTATCCGATTTATTTCAGGTTTTTTTCTAAAAGATGGAGCAGTAAAAACTATATTCTGGCGCAATAATTAAAATTTGTTTTCTGTGTTCAATGCCTACTTCGAATTTTTTTCAGTCAAATTTTACAAAAATTTAGCGATTTTTTTATTTCAAATCTAACTACGTCACTGGATTCAGCATCCCCTAAAACAGTATTATGCCAAATTTCGTAAATAAATATTTAATAATTATGGATTTATAACGATTTTAATGCAAGCTTCATTTTATTAAATACTGTTATACCTACCTAGGTAGTAATTTTCTAAAAAAAAATGTTGGCTATGGAAAATAATTTAAACAAATGAAAATTAATTTTAGGCTTTTAATTAATCACATTCTTCTGGTCATTCGCTTGTTTTAATATTAGTTTTTGTAAGTAATAAATATGTATCTAATAATTGTGTATATAGAAAATTGTAAACATAAAAAAACTACTTTTGGGTCTCTGAACAATTTACATATTGGTGCTTATCCCCTTATTGTACCAGGATCTACAATTACATCTTCAATGAGAAGGAAATAAATATAATGAGAATCAAATGTGTATATTGTATATTTTTACACAAAAAGTAAGAAAGGGAAGGTTCATACAAGAGAATATTTTTTTGATTATATAATTCATTAGAAATTCAGCCAATAGCAATTACAAATTTTACATAGTTACTATGTATTGATAAGCGATTATACTCTTGACGACGTGGTATAACCGTTTTGGTGTTTCGCCCCTCCAACAATGTGAACTATGTCATGGTAACGATAGTTTTAACATTTGTCAATAAACGTCAAAAAAAAAATGGAACGCTTTGGTTCAAGCTCTGAATTGGAAATCAATCAACAAATAGAGAATCTAACTCCCCAAAATACTTTAAAAACGCACAAATATGTCTGGAAGCAGTTTACAGAATTTTGTGAACAGCGAAATTATAAGCTTTCTGCTCAAACTTCTGAAGAACAATTGGCAAGTATCTTGAAGGATTGGGCATTCAACATGAAATGTGCAGACGGCACCGAATACAAAGAAGGGACTGTGAAAACAATTTGGAATATAAACGCTACTCGTCTCGAAAAAGTTTTATGAAGAGTATAACCGAGAAATAAATCCATTCAAGGGCGTCATTTTTGAAAATGCAAGAAAGGCGCGGGCAGCTAAAAGGAAGAAGTTACAAGCAATTCCTGAATAGAGAAAAACAAGCTCTATCGCCTTTAATGCGGACGAAATTAGCAAAATTATAGCAACTTTTGACAAATATTCGATTATACTAACCTCCTCACTCGACGTATATCTTTAAAACACCACTCCAGCTATGCTGTCGTGGTGTTTCGCAGAATACGTCTCGTGACTCGGAAGTATAATCGAATATTTTCTATGCTCTTGTGATATTATAACTGAGAATTTGCTGAATTATTTTAAAAACATTGGTATATGTTAGGGTACCTAGTGATGTAAAGGGGAGAACGTTCCCATCGTGCTGTGGAGAACGTTTCGTGAACGTTCGCGAACGATAAATCGTTCGTGCGCGCACGATAGATCGCTCTCCGCGAACGTTCCTCACAGAGCACACTCAGCGCGTTTCATCTGCGTGCATTGCATCATTCTGCCTCTGTGGATCCCCTTGTTTTATTTTGTTATTTGATTTAGTTAACACATTCGATTATTTGCAGATAAAATTATATTTTCAATTTATTGCAAATTGAGATTGCAATTTGATTTTTCTTATACATATAAAGTTTTTTTAAATAAAAAATATTTTATATTGAAGTTATGAGCTACTTACTATGTCAAAGCTATATTTATCTTACATTATGTTTCTACATACATGTATAGTCTTTCCGAAGTTAGTTGAACATGTAAAAAACGCTTGGCAATAAAATTTAATGTCTTTCATAAGCGTCCTTAAAAAAGTTTTCTGCTAAAGGTAAAAAATTATAATAAGTTGCTGGGCAGTTTGTCAACACTTGTCAAGAACTGAGATTTATTGCCCAGCGGCCCAATACAGCTGTGTTAGATTTCATTTGGCCGTGCTCACATTCTTCAACTGGGAGTATACATTTCTACCACCTGCACGTGTAGTTCGACCAGACCTGTATATGGGTATGGCTAAATAAATATGGGAACAAGTTTTTCAAATATTTCAGTGCCGAGTTGCTGCGTCAGCGACCGAACCTGGTACATACTGTCAACGTCTTGGTTTTGGTAAGTTTTAGCTATTTTTGACTTAATAAATATTTTTGTTGATGTTAGAAGTTATTACTATATTATTTGCAACACATAATATGAATACACTCTTATTTTCATATGAAGCATTATGAGTATTTTGAGCACTGTCAGCATTTTGAGAATTTTGAGCATTTTCAGAAAAAAACGTGAAAAGTAAGTTTCTAAATACTTCACTACACCCCAAATATAAATTCTAGGGTTTTTTCGTTTATGCACGTTTATTCTCGTTCATGCTCGTTCGTGCTCGGGGAACGTTCTGCAAAAATACGTGCTCGAGAATTTTACATCACTAAGGGTACCCATACAAAATAATAAATATTTAATTTGAATGTAACCTAGCTGACTAAATTTTATGATGGACTAACAACAAACTATGTGAATTAAGCTATTTCATTTGCTCCAGACATTTTTGATCAGCTGAGCTTCATTTTTCATATCATCCTTCACTTCAGTGTACTTCAACCACTACAGAGAAAAGCTACTGATTTAGATAAATGAATATTACGCTTATTTGCATAATTTGAAAGATGGATTGTGGCAAGGAATATAGTAATGAGATAGAGCATGTGCTAGATCTTAGTATTTCTGGTTTTTCAGACAGCAGTTTAAAATCTGAAAATATTTCCGTTTTACTTATTAGTAGCCAATGGAGTGAATTACAGATGCACCTGTATCATCAGAATTTCTGTTTACCACTGTGAAAACTGTGTATTATACATTTGATGAGAATCTGAATATTTTACAAGTTTTAAATAATCATCTCATAATCACATTGATTAGAAAAATAGTATCTAGTAACTAAAGCTCGTATCAGACAATGCAATTTTGTTGCAGGGATTTGGTTGTGGCGATAGAATCCATGAAATTTTTCTTATCAGACTATGCAATTCTGTAGCGGCAACTAAATTGTATGAAATAGAACACGCTCTATTCCGTGCAACAAAATTGCAAGAATTCTTATGGAGATTTGTTTATTACCAACCTAGCTGTTGTTGGCGTTGGCCATCGCTGTTGTTAGTAACACCGTTGAAGCCACTATTAAAGCTATACAACAATTTACTTTTAAATTTTCATACAGTGCAATGTTTTGCTTGAATGAAAAATAATTATTTACAAGATACCTACAAGAAATTTTGCATGTTAAACAATATACAGTTGGTAACACTACTACAAGTGCAAACTAAACAAATTGCAGCAATTCTGTCCCAATGTGTGACAATAAGCATGCAATTATCGTCGCAACAAAATCCTCGCAATTTTGTCGCTACGATTAAATTGTATTGTCTGATACAAACTAATGAAGCTGAATAATTTTGAGAGTATTTATTTTGCAGTATTCTATAAAGAAAATAAAACATACTTATATCATCTTCATAAATATTTTTTAAGTAAATGGTTTTTATACGTAAAACTTTACAATTGTCGAAATCGCAAAATATACAGGGCGTTTTGGTAAGGGACCATAAATGCAGGAGCTGATAGAATTTCAAAAACTGGCACAATTTTTTCCCATGGTCCAAGGGCCTATTTTTTGAGGTATGTCTACTACCATTTTTAAAAATGAATTGTTAGCCTATTTTTTTCCAAAAAACAAAATTATCAATTATTTGCAATCACTTTGTATTACAAAACTAGTAACCAAAAAAGATCCCACTAGCACTGTAAGTGTGCAGTATTAAAACTAAAAAAATCTGGATGAAAATAAACCAATTTAGACCAAGTTACTTGAGTACAAATTTACTTCCTTAAAAAGTTGTGTTATTAGTATCAAAATCGTATAAAAAATATTTTTCAATACTAAACTTTTTAAAGAAAAATTATACAAAGTTAACTTGATCTAAATCAGTTTATTTCCATCCAAGGAAGCTATCCATGAAGTATAACCTATTTGTATCCCGACACTCTGTATATTAAGAAATGGATGCTGGTTGATTTTAGGTGTCAATTGCGTCTTTCTCAAAAATCGTTTTTATCTATTTAAACTAAACAAATCACCATTTTTATAGAAAATTTTACCTCGAAATTTACATTATAAAATTAAATTTTACCTCAAATTTTACATTGTAAACACCCTTGATAATTTACCTGCATCAAAAAAACATAATTTAAAAAAATTTTCTTTAATGCCCTGTATCTCGAAATCAAATCATGGTCCATAAGAAAAAGTTTTCTTATTTTTGTTGTTTTAAATTAAGGTATAGGTTGGTATGCCGAAAAATAATAAAAAAATATCCAATCTTACTTGTCTCTCCTAAGTCGAACAGCGCGAATAGATGAAGCAAATACGACTTGTAAAATTTTCTTTTTAGCAGAAATGTCATAAATTGATAAAATATTATCAGCAAATCTTGGTGGGGCCCCTCCAGATACCACTGCTATAAGATTAGTTCGAAATAACATTTCACATTTCGACACACTTCCTACCACATCAATATCTAAAATAATAAAAATTTATAGTTATATTTGATTTAATTTTTTAAATTAACTAACCATAATGTAACTTCTCAACCAACGGTTCTATATTATAAATTCGGACACCACTTTCCATACAACATGTGAAACAGCCTATAAATTAAATTAATAAGTTTTACAAAAGCATAAATAAATATATATTTCTAACCTTGGTCTTGATTGAATCTAACACTTTTAACTTTTTTGTCACGAATCATTTTGTAAAAATAAATGCGCAAAATTGGCTACAAGTAAATGATGGTCTTTTAATCGAAAATACCTATATAATGATCTTCGCTTATAAAAACCGTTTTATATTGTTTTTAAGGCCTCTTTAATTATTTCTCCACTACTTTAACTTTCGGTCACTACACTAGGCTTTGTTTTTGCATAGAAAGTAGAATAATACAAGACAAACAAAAATAAAATCAAAATAAACATTAAACCATAGAACATCCAATTCAGGGGCATCCACACTTCAAGTGTCAATAGGTCTAAGCTTTAGTACGGTAACGCTTCGTAAGGTGTGATTATAATTTCGATTTTGTTAAACATAAATTAAAAAACTGTGCAATTCGGTACAGATTACTCAGTTCAAGGCACATTGACCGCGCCATTATTCCATGGCTAGAAATTGGCCTCAATGATTTGGGATCGAGGGGGATTATCCCTCTTTATCCTGCCTCATCTCGTGTAGGCCTGGACAG